CTTTTGGCTGCAAACAGCTTCTCAGCAAAAACTCCACGAAGACAAACAAAAACAAAGCACTACTCTGGGCATCCTCTCGACAACTGAAATGAGAGGAGCAGATGATAAATGACAGTGCTAAAGCAAATGCCTCTCAATGGACTAATTATGTCTCAAACGACTCTTCCAGCGCGGCTACTATTCATTTTGGTTGAACAACACTGAAAGAAGTGTTTAATTTCCTCGTCTAAACGGGATTTTGAGTTTCTTTCTGAAAATGAATGTAAAACAAACGGAGTGAAATTCATAGAGCTTATTTTCCTGTATCGACTGCAGTTTATAACAGATCTCTTTCAAGAGGGACATTGAAGTAGTGGTCCGTAAGGTTATGACAAGCAAAAAAATCCAAAATTGAAAGAACGACATAGTTTGGAACTCCCAAATGAAAACAATTAAGCAGAGCATAGCCACTGACATTGCGTTAGTTTAACTGCACTGAGCGTCAAGCGCGGAAGCCAGCGCAATAGGGCAATTTGTCTCAGCCCTCTCAAAAAAGCGTCTAGGACAAACTTTGGTCAGCGACTCCTTAGCACCCAAACAAGTGTGGTACATACCTCTGATGCGCTGAGAGGCTTGGGCTGGGCCTTGTCTCCATCTTGTCCGCCCCCAACCATTTTAGAGGCTCCCGAGTAATTACGCGAAAGATTTCTAAAAATACAAAGTTGGATCTCAATGTAAAAAATCACTCTGAGATGTAATGCAATTACCTGCCCACTTGGAATCTGGATTCACTTCCTCCTGCACCGCACAGTACCCGAAGATGCCCAGGCAAACTGTGAAAACGATTAGCGAATTCTAAAAACCGATTCATTGAACAGATCATTTCCTAAAAGATAACAATAGGTAAGGAAGATAAGGTGGATTTCTACCTTATCCACAAACGCACAACACTATAACACTATAGGGAATAATATTGCGAGACTTCTTTAAATGGAGATCAAATCTAAATCCTGTTCTGTGAATTAGAAGGACTGAGTTTAAGCAGTAAATATGTTGAGGGGAAATTTTTT